TGGTTTTCTTAATGCTGATTATTATGAATCTTATCCATTCACCATCCTGTGTTGATTAAAAATAGATTATCTTCTAAACAGAGAAGTGTTGGGTACTTTATCTTTTACTATCTTCATGAAGAAATGCTCCATTTGTTGGTTGGAAGGACAGACATCCCTGCTGGGACATTTGCCTGAGTCAGGGGCTGAGGGGGGTTCCTGTGGTGACTTTTAAGGTGACTTTCTTTGTTGTCTGCTTTGCTTCTCTTCAGTGTATATGGAATTGACATGGAAAAGCTTCATCCTTTCTAGCACTGATCATCTCCAACATTTATTGTCTTGATTCTGTTAAAATGTTTGAGGGGGTTTTTTGTGCCTCTGCCTGACAATGTCCAAACCACAGGTGCACTGGGGAAAAACTGATTGGAAAGGAAAACAACTTCTGGTTACAGAAATTCTGATCAAAATGTGCCCAAGGTGCCTCCTAGGAATAGGCAAATTATAGCTGGGGTGCCTTATGAAAGAAGGGAGACTCAAATTCCAATTTCTGTTCTGCCTGATCCCATCAGGATCCTCTCTTGTGAAAATCTTTCATCAGAGCCCTGGTGTTGCTGGTCACACTGCAGGGGGGGTTTTCTCTGTGTGTGTAGGAAGGATTTATAGGGTGGGAAGAAGATAAGTAGCAAGGACAGCAGTGTTATGTTCATAATTTGCTTTGAGACTCCTGTAAGTTCTACAGAGCCACTCTGTGCACCAAGACTTAATCCTAGTGTTTTCCTAGTGAGGGAAATTCCTGAAGGGATTCTGCCATTCCTTTAAGGAGATGATTGCATGTGCTTCTGGCATAACACCCTTAGAATAACAGGGAATTTTCCACGTGTGCTGTGCCAGTGTCTGCTGCCTCAGACTCTGGCTGAACTCGTGTTTAGGCTCAGATTCTCTGGTTCCTGCTGGAAGGTTTCTGCAGCAATTGATGCCTGGGGTGCTTTGTGCTGCTCTGGATTAGGCAGGTGTAAGATGGTGTAAATTAAACCAGAGGGTGTTTAGAGCTGTTGGAGGCTGGTGGATTTCATACAGAATTAATTTGGGCAAGATTGATCACAATTCCATCAAATGACAAGGCCCAGTATCGGCAGTGGTGGCCTTCTCTGGTCTGAACTAAATTAATGGCCTGTGTATTATGTAAATGTTAGATTAGATTATGTCAGGGTTTGTCCCAACCTCTTGACAGGATGTTCTGATTGCTGACCTAAGACCTTTTCACCTTGGAGCAAGGCTGGCTGGGTTTTGTTTTGCTGTCTGCTGAGGCAGCCAGGGGATGGTGGGGACATGTCCTGCTGTCCCAGCCTGCAGGGGATGGTGGGGACATGTCCTGCCCTGCTGCCCCAGCCTGCAGGGACTGCAGACACTCCTGGGGCTTGTGTCTGTTGCTCTGGGGACCTTGAACTGCATTTGCTGCCATGCTGAGTTAAAAATGTGGCTGTCATCCTTGTGGCTGGGAGAGGGAAGG